TATTACGGTTTTGTCATATGACATATTTAATATAATGTGGCCACATATTTAGTTTTAGAAAAGTTTATTTTCTTTTAGCCACAAATTTAATTAATACTGGCAGACTTATAAGTGTTTCATCAATTTATTTAACAGATTTTTTTATTTTTGGTCATAGACTCAATTAATTTTGACAGATTTAATTAGTTTTCAATAGATTTTTTTCTTTAACCACAAATTTATTTAATATTTTCAGACTTAATTATGTCTCGCAGATGATAATGGTGGATGATGTCTCTAAAAGCTTGTCAAAGTTTATCTTCTCTAAACTTTGTCGATGATGAAGTTACAAGAGGATGACGGCTACAGAAATATGTCAAAAGAGAAAAGAGAAAAAAAAAAACCTTAATTAAACAAATATTTCATTTTTAATTCATAAACAGAATTTGTTTTTTTTTTAAATAATATAATGGCATTTTTGTTATTAGAGTCAAGATGGATGGCTTAGCTGATTTTTTACACATTTAGGATTAAGTATTTTTTTAGTGGGTGTTACTCTATTAATATATCAATAAACTAGTGCTAATCTAACTAATTTTCTCTAAATTAAGTTATACTAGATTTTGAGCCACGCCAAACGTGGGATTAAATATTGAAATATATTTTCTAATCGATCTTAATATTTAGAAGTGTTTATTTATAATATTTATAAACCTATACAATGATATGTATTGTACATAAATATAATAAAATTAAATTTTTACTAAACATATTTCAATGTCATATGCTTTGATCAATTTTGAAGTGTCAAATTGAGTTTTATTATTTGTGTAAATAGTAGAGCATGCGATAAATCAAATAAATTTTAGATTTATATAAATTTGCTAGACGTAACAAARAAAAAATATATTTTTCTAATAATAAAATGTAAAAATATTTGTAAGTGTAGTTATCATCTACAAATAAATATTATTGTTACAAATATAATAATAAAAAGCTTTTTAAGATATCAATTTTTTTAAAAATAGATGATATAGTAAGTTTAAATATTACATTTAGTTAAACTTAACTCTGTAAAATATATATTAATGGGTTTATGTTATAAAATTAATAAAACATATAGCGATTTCCACCTTAGCATATAGTTTTAATTAAAATATTTTCATTAGTTAATTTAAATGACATATTCCTTAAAACCCTCATTGAATAATACATATGATTTTTTCACCAAATATCTATTCAACTAATATTATAGAAGATTAGTGGCATTTTAAAAAAAATTTCAAAATAATGGCATTTTTTAAAATTGGCATTTCTAAAAACTTATCTGGATTTAGTCTAAATATCATGCAAATTAAATTTTGGACAATTACAAAAATACCATTTTTTGTGTGCATATTTGCAAGAATGCCACTTAGAGGTGTCCATTTACAAAAATGCCACTAATTATAGATTTATAAAGCCTATATCTTAAAATTCTAAACCCTAAAAAATGTTTTGACACCTAAAGCCCCCTAAACACTCAAAACTAAACTTTAATAGAACATAATTAACCCAAACATAAGTAATATAAAGAAAAAATAATTTTGAAAAAGTGGCATTTTTGTAAAGATTTCAAAAGTGTGTCATTTTTGTAAAGATTTCAAAAGTGTGTCATTTTTGTAAAGTGGCACTTGAAAATGGCATTTTTTAAAATTTCTCATTAAATTTTGTAAGATAAAATATAGAAAAATTTCAAAAAATGCCATTTTTCAAGTGCCACTTTAAAAATGCCACATTTTTTAAATCTTTACAAAATGCCACTTTTTCAAAAAAAAAAATTTATATATTATTTATGTTTGGGTTAATTATGTTCTATTAGGGTTTAGTTTTGAGTGTTTAGGGGGTTTTAGGTGTCAAAACATTTTTTAGGGTTTAGAATTTTAAGATATAGGCTTTATAAATCTATAATTAGTGGTATTTTTTTAAATGGACACCCCTAAGTGGCATTCTTGTGAATGTGCACACAAAAGTGGCATTTTTGTAATTGCCCCTAAAATATATTGATAATACTGGAGATATATCTTTGTTATTTCATGAATTTTTTTTTGAATATTCTAATCTCGTATTTAACGCATGTCAAAAAAATATAATAGTTATTAGAAAAAAAAAAATATTCTGACATATACTTTATATTTATTAAATAAAACATTCCATATTAATTACCACATATTCCTTGCTTCCATATATGTTTAATAGTTATATATTGTATATGGGATATAAATTTAGCCTAATTATTTAAACAATAATGTTATTAAAAATTTTTAATAAATTTTCTTAAAAGTTTTTTAAAATTTTCACTTAGTGTCTCCTCCGTTAACATATAGAAGATTACAAGAAATGTGACCTTTCTTTGACATTTAAAAATCACGATGGGTTAATTCAATTACTTTTCCTTCTATCATGCCGTGGATTAATTTTCAATTAGATCAATATGTTTTCTCTTTTTACTCTAAAGTCAGGGAACATAATGATTTCAATCAATCCCACTAAAACTATATGATTTATGATTTATGATTTTTATCAAAACATTTTTATCTCTATTTTTTTACTTTAAATTACATATTAAAGTAAAAACTACTCTAATACACCTTTATTTTTAGTTCTAAAATAGAAAATATTATTTTTTATTCCATATTTAGAAGAACAAAAAAATAGTGAAATGTTATCTTTTACTCTAAAACATCATTTTTCTAAAATAAAGAATACATTGAAGAAATTTTGATAACATTTTGATAGCTCATAGTTTAAAGAGTAAAATCTACTCTAACACCTCTATTTCTACCAAACACCTCTATTTCTACCTCTCAATTAGTCTTTCTTCATCGTATTACTKTACTCTTTTGAAGAGTGACAATTCTAGAAGAATTATATGCTTACTTTTCACTTATTTAGTAAAACCCAATAAACTGTGCTGAAATGTGTGAGGTCGAGTGTTTTTTCAAAAACAATAAATTTATTACAGTACATAGATTCTCAGGAAAACAGAAGATAAACATTCTTCAAGGAAACAACAACTCTCACGACGCTTGGCAGTAAAAACTAAAAAGGAAACAAGATAACATTAACATATATTCAATAAAAGGTTCATGCAAGACTCTTTGATACTCCACAAAGCTTGGTCACACGTAAACGAAAACAAACAATTGAATTAGTTTTTTAAAATTATTTGATAAATTAGTTTTTTTTTCAAAAACAATTGAATTAGTTAATAATTAAAACACATAAAAATAATTAAATTAATTAATAATTGATAGTAAACACTCAACAATAAAATAAGTGACAAAGAAACCTAATATTATTGTCAAACTTTAAAAGTCCTTTCTGCAAAAGATTATGTTGAGAGAGTATTCGACTCCTTTCTGCTCAAGAAGTTTATTAAAGAAGTTGCTGAGAGAGTATTCGACATCTAACACATCCGTCGAATATGGGAGTGATCATGACCTCATCAATCTTATCTCTAGTCTTCGAGTGTTTTCAGAGCTTCTTCAAACATACCAGCCGAAATGTACAACTGTATAATCCATCCCATCACTTTCGGGAATAAATGGGTATTGTAGTGTAGGGAAAGCCTATGTGCCCCCTATAGCCCATGAAACCTTCCAGGTATCGCCCAAGCAGTGGTGCTACAATGCTAGAAAAAATCAACTAAACTGTCCACATGGGTAGTATCAAGTTTGATGATCAAACCAAAAGCAACATCATGGGAGTGAGTGATTTATTTTCGGGAGTCTCGTGAAACCATATAGGCAAACGCATCGACCATAGGAGTGAATGATTTACACTCGTGTGAATCAACTTCATAATCTTGATCACACTTTGCGGTGGTTTTGACTCTCAATGCCAAGTTTTATTGTGAGGCCGGGAGTGAATGAACGATCCCTCTCTTGCAAAGCCGTGCTTAAACTGTGCTTCAAAAAGTTTGGAGAAAAGTCACATTAGCAAATATTTAGACGATAGTCTCCCATGATCTTATCCTTGGAATGAAATCACAATTTGATTGTTTAAAACACATTCATATACGCTTAACTAGCGAAGGAAGTCAACAGTAGAGAAACATAACACAAGACAAAACAATGCAAAAGTTATCATGCAATTATACGTCTGGTTATAATCTTTGGAAATGAAATAACAATCTAATTATCTAAACGTATTTCATATACGCTTAAACTTGTGAAGGAAGTCAGCAATAGAAAAACAAAACACAAGGCAAAAATTAGCATGAAAACATAAAAATAAATCACTCATGTGAATCAACTTCAGAACCTTCCAAACACTTTTTCTCTCAAAATTTAGCTCTTTACGGTGATCAAATTGTGGTGGTTATGACTCTCAATTCCGAGCTTTATTGTGAGGCAGTGGACGGATGATCCCTCTATTTCAACTCAAACTATGCTTCAAAGAGTTTGGAGATGGATCGCAACAACAAATATTTAGACGACATGATTCTCAGGGTGAAATTAAATAGCAATTTGCTTTTTTTTTTTTTCAACAAGTTTACTTCATTCATTTAAAAGATCAAAGTACAAAGGGAGAGAATTAAACATCCTCCAAAATTACTACAACATAATTGAGAAGCAATAAAGCATAAAGTAGATAGATCATCAAAAGGGATGGACAGCGAATTCAAAGCATGCCTCGGATGCGTCAAATTGGTGGTGTGATCTGTGTCTGTGAAAGGATGATGCCAACAAGCTCGTTACCATTAGGCACAACGCTTATCTTCTTGAAATGATAATCCACCATTGTTAGCTTCTCGATATCGACAACTCAAGAGGAAAGGAGATGGTAAGCGGCGAATATAGAGTCGCTCTAAGACAATCCTAGGGTAAATTAGGGGTGTTCAATCCGTATAAACCAATTTATCCATATTTAACCAAACTGAAAAAATCGATTTGAAATCCAAACCATATGGTTTAAATGGATTCATTTTTTCAACATTTCA